ATCTAAATAAATAGATTTAAAACCAAAAAAGCACATACATACCTCTCAGCAGAATAATATATTTTTCCTCAGCCGCCTACTAAATCATTCAACATTTTTGGAAACATACACCCTCAAGCGTGCAGCTAGCATGTAACATTTTAGTATGAAAGCATCTTGGCTTGCATCAGAAATAGTGTGGCCAGTAGTACTAGGGAAGTGATGGTTCCCTTGTACTTGGCACTGCTGAGGTCACACCTCGAATACTGTGGTCAGTTTTGGGACCCTCACTACAAGAAAGACATTGAGGTGCTGGAACATGTCCAGAGAAGGGCAACGAAGCTGGTGAGGGGTCTGGAGAGCAAGTCCTATGAGGACCGGCTGAGGGAACTGGGGTTGTTTAGGCTGGAGTAAAAGAGGCTGAAGGGAGACCTTATTGCTCTCTACAACAGCCTGAAAGGAGGTTGTAGAGAGCTGGGGGTCAGTCTCTTCTCCTAAGTAACAGACAATAGAACAAGAGGAAATGGCCTCAAGTTGCACCAGGGGAGGTTTAGATTGGATATTAGGAAAAAATTCTTCACTGAAAGGGTTATCCAGCATGGGAATAGGCTGCCCAGGAAGTGGTTGAGTCACCATCCCTGAAGGTATTTAAGAGGCATGTAGATGTGGTGCTTAGAGACATAGTTTAGTGGTAACTTGGCAGTGCTAGGTTAACAGTTGGACTTGATAATCTTATAGGTCTTTTCCAACCTAAACAACTCAATGATTCTGTGAGACTGTTGCATTTTGACAAACTAAATACACACTGTCACACAGCTACATCTTTGGCAACCCTAATGGCAATGAGAGTTGCTGTCCTGCTATACATGTATGTGTACAGCAGACTACAGCTTCTGCAACGCTGCCATTCAAACTACATTAGAGACATCATCATTGTCCCACCAGCCCTCCAAACATGAATGCCATTTCCTACAAATGCCAAAGTTGTAAGTCAATGTTACGTATGATAAAAAGATAGCTAAACGACATAGTCAGTTCATAGTTGAAGGTTTCCCAAAACACTGGGTCTTGCCCAGGGAAACAGTAAACACCTGACCTACTGAATTCTGACACTACAGCTCTTCCTTACACAAGCACTTCCCTAACTTCATACTCCCAAAAATCTTCTAATTATCACAGCAAAAGAAAATTATCACTCTTGCAATTAAACAAAGTCAAACTATAGCTAATATATGCCATCAACATTCATCAGGCAAGTCCGCTGTCTGAAAAAAACATCTCTATTTCTAGCACATTCCGAGGACAGCAATCCACCAGAAAATAGTTTGGAAAAGAAAGTGACAAGTTTCCACTCTCAGCAACATAAGCAGGATCACTGCAGTGAGAATGGTTAATCATGGCCCACTAGTCATCCAGCGGTCCAGGGCAGGTAGTTTGCAGATAATCAATGAGATTCCAAAAAAGCCTAAACAGAGCTCCAACTACTGCAACTAGCAATTTAGATATGCATCAGTTATTGGAAAGAAGTGACTATCACTGTATTTTGACTGTCCTATAAAAACCAAGTACATTTAAGGACAAAGAATTCACTGTTCCCAACTACAGACACCTGAGATATCAATATGAACTTCATACTGATGAGAAGTTTTAAAATATTTGTCTTATTTTATCTAGTAATTATAGTATGTTTACTATTTTAAAGTTGCAAAAAACACACACAAAAAGTATTCTCTGAAGAGTGAGTGAAGTGCCTGGGTGACATTTTGTAGAATTCAAATTATTTTCCATCTATCTTGAGAAAGCTCCAAACATATTTTCAGCTTCTTAGATGAAAGCTTTCATGCTTGTTCCCAAAACATGATTAACTTCCTTAAGATCTGTATGACATACTCAGTTTAAAGTTTGCATTTTTTTTGGTGTGCTAAGATTATTTGCTAGAAAAACTAAAAATATCTGCAGAAATTAAACAGACCTGAAAGTTTACTTCTGATTAAAAAAAATATAAACCACAAAACAACAAACACCACAACACAACATTTTAGTTTCTTGTAACATCCCTTCTTATAAGCCTAGTAACTTTTCCTATTTAATTTCAAATAATGTGCTAAATATTCTGCAAGATAGTTCAAATTCTCATTTCAATATCTTCAGCACAGACTTTACTAAATAATTCTTTTCACTGAATCATCATAATGCATTTTCCTGATTAATGCAATTAGTCGATTCTTCTTTATTTATGGCATTTTCTATACCCAATATATCAATTGCTGCTTTAAAAAAAAAAAACACAACACAAATCAAAAATCCCACGGAACAATTTTCACCCTGTCACTGTCTGTGGTGGAGGAGAACCATGATTAATAGGAAAAGGGATCAAGCCTCAAACCTGCTTTACAACATATTTTTGTGTTGCAAAAGGAGGTGATATTACATGATAGCAAAAGCAGCTCGCAGGAACTATCCTGAACCTGGGTAGCCATGTACTATCACCACATTCCATAGTAGAGACCACAGACACCGACAAACAACAGACCATGAGCAACTGGGGACTAGCACAATACTCACTAATCATTTACTTGTAAAACCTTTGATGCAATAGTATCCAGTAGCCTAATTCATAGATACAGAAAATCAAGAATTCTTCCTTTCACCATCCTGACACGGGGTTTACACAGCACTGAGGTTGATATTCTAGTGCAAAAACCAACTGTAACTCAAATGAAAGTATTGTCCCCTCCCTGAAAATATTTGCCTCTCGGTATTACTGACGTGCCACGTCCAGGAATTCTACCAGGCCATTAAAAGCTGTAAGATAAAAATTCCTCAGTTTTGAATCCCCCTACTTTTGAGAATGGAGGCTGTACTGAAACATCTCCCTGTGATACAGGTAATTAAAAAAAATAAGGTAAAATGGATTAAATATTTGTATGCACACACATAAACACACAGAGAGACAGGGAGAACACAAGAAATACCTCTGATTTCATTATGCTATTTGTAAATGCCAATGCACAGCTGCCTTTTTTTTTTGGAACATACAGCAGATTCTATGAATTCTATTAGAATACATATGAATGCACTAAGTGATTCCTCAGTTGTCTACTCAATGGGGGCAAAGAAAGTATTATTCACAGGTAACAAGAGGGGTGGTATAAAAGCTGGACAGCAAGGATGTGGTTCATTACAGGAAGAACTAAAGAATTCATTAAGGTGCAATGTGAGGCACAGCAGTTTTGCAAGAATTCTCTGAGGTGCCAATAATGTCATAACAAATAAACAAGTAAACTAGTTAAGTAGTTTTCCCTCACATTAACATTGGTTTCAGTGTCATTCAAGCTGTGGTCATTTACAATTTCAAAAACACGCTTGATCCTTTCTACAAATCACACAACAAGCCTGGTACCCAAACACTCTTCTGAGGGTGCCTCAACATCTTCTAACAAATTTAGAACAGCATTTTAGCACAAACACTGGAAACCAAAGCATGGTTTGTTTTAATAACACAACATAGTTATTTACCTTAGCAGTGTGACAGGCAACCATTCTGCTAGGAAGTTTTCATACCATTGCATATAATTTATTTTTCAGGCAATTTTTAAAATACTTCTTTATGAGGATGCTATATAACTGATGTGCCCCACATTTAAACTCATACTGTCCAAGTAGTCTACCAAATCATTTTCTCCACCAGCAGCATGAAGACAGAGTGCATTATGACACCTCATACATATTTAATAATAGCCTGATAGGCTGTCATTAACATCAAACAGCAATCTAAGTTTGCTACATTAAACATGATCCCTGTGTTAAGAGGACAATCACAAAGTGCCTCCAAGATCGAGCCTGTAAGAAATACCCACCGACTTGGACAAGGTGTAATGAGGCCAACTGCACTGAAGAAGCCATTATTCACATATCGCAGCTAAAATGGGGAGGGGGAAGAAAAAAAAAAAGGCAGGGGAAAAAGAAAAAGCTTCAATGGGTCATAAGACCAGACATGCCATAAGGCAATCTGTCATAGAGTACTCATATTAATAACTGTTGTGTCAAAACTGAACATTCAAAAGAAAAGACAAACCTTCCTTTATGTTTTATGAAATGTAAGCCCACAGAATTAATAATTCATGAGATGAAGAAAAATATCAGATTTGGATATAAATATTAACAGAACACTGTCAGCCTGTTTAGAACTGAATTTTAACTGTCCTATCTTACATTTATCAATCTAGAGAGGAATATTCTTCAAAAGCTCAAAAAAAAAAATCAGTATGAAAGTCATTAATGAAGAAATTAACATTCTTCTATTCATGTAGGTCCTACGCAAAACAGCAGAACTCTCTTCTGTGCCTGGCTATGGCTGAGCGAATACTAATTGACTGGCATTATTTGTTCCCAGAGTTACACTCTGTTGACAAAAATAACGTTGGTATGCACACAAGAAAGTATACTAAAGGACATACTAAAATCAAGACCCAGTAGAAAATGGTTTAGTCTCAAGATAAAGAAGTATTTAACCAGACCTATAAAATGATACAGTTATTTCCATTTTAGTCTTTACTTCCCTTGCTAAAGTGGTTAACAGTTGAAATTCAAGATCTAGAAGAAACTTCTGCCTTATGACGCCAACTCTTCTCTGCTTTCACCACTATAACAGGGAATAGAATATTGGAACACAAAACACAATTGTGATAAAAATCAGGAACGCCAACAAAACGTACTGTTCTAAATGGTGGTGACAGGTGACACTGCTTTTCTTTATAGTTTTTTTTTCTTCTCCCCAACACTAATATAATTTCAGTCTAGTTATGTCCCCATCTGCACTTACATTCTGGGAAACAGTGTTAAAAATAATTACATAAGCAGCAGTATTAGGCATACATTTAAAAAGTCAGCCTAAAAGATTCACTTTTGTCCACAGTTCCTGACATTTTCACTGCATTTCACCTAGTGATGTGCATGCCAAATGAAAAGCTAAAGAGTTGAACAATCTTTTAATATTGTTTTAAGAAGTTAATTCCTACCTTTATCATTCTAGAGAGATCTCCAGCATCAGCTAATTCCAACACTATGTTCAGTTCATTGTCTTCAATGAATGAGGCATAATATTTAATTACATTTGGATGATTCAGTTGCTAAGAAAGCAGAATAATAATGCACATTTTAGCATAGAGCACATCTTATCTGTTAAGACTGACAAATGAAATGTTCTTATTTAAGCAAACAAAACAACCCCTAAAATCTATTTCAGTACGAAACAAGAAGTATATGCTTATGAGAAGCACGTACAGATAAACATTTTGCAAGAATGTGATGGTATTTTAGGATCAAGATGATGACTGAAATTACAATTTTAGAGGAATTTGCTTTTAATGTATCTATGTAATAGCATGGTAAACTTATCGGAAACAGCAAAGTCAGCTTTTAAAATCAGTACTTTACTGTACACAGGACACAATTACTTAGAATACTGGGTTTAGCAGAAACTTCTACTTGAAAAGTTACGCAGGTTTCTATAGGATTTACTTCGCAATGTTAATTTTTAAAGCAATAACTTACAAAGGCTTACAAAGCCCTACACAGACAACAGTGGACACCTCAAGTACATCTATGAAAAACATAATATACTTTGATGATGGCTGCACATTTTTTAAACAAATCTTTTACCTTAAGAAGATCTATTTCTTTGATGCAGTCAGCACGGGCTTTGGCATCCATTAAATCAAATATCTATGCACAAAAGATAAGACATTTTTATTAAGTTATTGAAATATAGCAAATTGAGTGATCATTATAATTATTTCATAGCATCCACAAAGCAACTTGAGTTACGCATTTCACGGCAAAACGTAACATTGCAGTAAGAAGTATTCCTAATGCACTGATGTACCAGTTTCATTGCTATATTGATTCTTTTAGCCCTCTTGTAGGAAAGAAGTCCATTTTAAGTACAAGCTTTCCAGTGACTTAATTGCTACCTCCGCATTTCTATTCAAACACACAGCAATAATTCAGCACATTTCCTTCAAGTTGGTTCTAATCCAAATGTCAGTCTGCTCTCCCGTTCCTGCCATGCCATTACCACAAACTGATTCTTTCTAGTACTGAGCATACCTTTTTTTTTTCCCTAGTCTCTGCTACAGTCTTCCTTTTCTATTCTAAATAATGCATACGCTTTTACACTCTCTCTCAGGATCAAAACTTCATTGTCACCTCCAATTCTTTCTCTCCCATTTCCTTCTCTCTCAGGATCAAAACTTCATTGTCACCTCCAGTTTTTTCTCTCCCATTTCCTTCCCTTTGGCAAGTAAAGAAGTGATTTGGGTTCTGCAATTTGTTTACTAGAGCATTTTTTCCTAAGCCCTCATCTGTCACCATGACTTTTATAGCCTTTTACAGTTAGACATCTCTGCTCTTCATTTTTTTCCCACCTCCCAGCTGCTCCAAATTACTTTGCCATTTATCTTATTTTTGCACCCTCTAGTTAAGCACGTTACTCTCTGCTAACTTCAAGTTCTGTTTGGAGTAATTTCTCCTGCCGTTAGAGTCCTTGACCACATTCTACACATCTATTTTATTTAATGTCTATTTTCACTCTCTTTTTTTTACCATCTTTGGGTTCCCTTCTCACCTCACTTTCTCAGATGTGCTTTCTCATACACTGCCACCAACTATTTCCCTTAGAAACAAAAAAAAAAAAAAAAACCCCAACAAAAAGCCCCCACTAGACAAAGCCCAAACAAAAAACCCCATTCAAACCACTCAATCTTCTGTGCGGTCTGCCTGTACATTTTGAGCTATCCAGAAGAACAACAGAGGTGTACTATGAGTTTTAGTAATTGCCACAACACTTAGAAGATTACGTTTTCCAGTTACATCTTTTCAATGCACATCACTTCTTTCTAGATAGTGTCCAGGAAAAGATGTACTATGTGCTGTGACGATCACTGGTAGCTGGTTCCATCAACTCAAAATTATCACAAGCTCAACAGCTGACAACTTCCATTTCATATCTTGTCACCAACCCCAGAAACAAAAAGAAGGATTAACAGCATTTTGAGTACTCAATATCTGCAAAAAGGTCATCAGTTAAACTGATTAACTGTCCATGTGAATCACACCTCCTTTCAACCTCCCCAAAGTTGTTCAAATAAATCAGGAAGTCCACATATGATCTGTTAAACCTCCTTTTAATTTTCTATACCACTATTCACAATAAGTTTATCATTCCTTTTATCAACTGAAAGAGGTCTAACGACTTCATCCATGGAGCACAGTCCTCACAGAGCACATGTGAAGCTCTTGACTAGCCACTACTTCCTTTCAGATATTCTATCTTCTGTCTTCAGAGCTGGCGTAAGGAAAAAACAGCCTGGACTGAAGGCAAGATTCATTTTTTTGACAAAAAGACAAATGAAAGTCAAGAACTGAAATGCCAGCTTGTAGACAGTAAGAAGAAAAGAAAGAAGAAAACCAAATTACTTACCAAGAAAGGGAATAAACCACCTCACAACTACTTGTCTATTAGTGCCAGGATGATAGGAAATAAACAGACTGAGCTAGAAGCAATTATTCAAGGAGGAGACTGTGGGGGACTTAACAGAAACACAACAGGGTAAGTCACAAGACAGTCAGAAAACACTAAAAAATAAAGTCATTTCAGTTGTAGTAGAAGAAAAGAGTTAGTACTATATATGAAATTACAGGTACAAGTATTAAGAGGTAAATTAACGCTGACGGAAAAGACAAAAAATAGTTTATGAATTAAGATTGGGAACTTCGTGAAAGAGATCAAACAGCTTGCATCTGTTATAGATCTCAACTCTGAATGGAAAAACATTGTTCTTTAATTGTTTTGACAACGGATTAGTATCTGGTACATTCATAAAGGACTGTAAGGATTTTTCTAGGAAACAATTAGGAAAGTTCCAAATATGAGAGCCCGAACATGAACTGTGGAAGTATTGGGAAAGCATGAGATCATAGTAGTATGTAACTTGAGAGACCAGCAAATGGAAAATTTTATACCCTCTCATCCACACAGATGTGTACTGGGGAGTAAGGAAAAGGGGGGGACAGGTATAGTGGCACGTCTTGAAGCTTGACACTTGCTAAGTTCTATACAATAGTGAGATGAGAACGTTCCTTATACAGAGTAATACAAAAATTAGACACAGACAGAGAACTCCAAACACACTCAAGGAACTTAGTCAAAGCTGCAGATAGAATTTTAGACTGAGTATTGTATACAAATGTCTGCTTATAACATTTGGAGAAGTTGCCCTGAGCACAATTTCAAGATTCAAAATGAAAAGAGTTTGTTCTGTGAAAAAACAGGGCAATTTGCCCTGTTAATGACTGTTCCAACAAGCCAAGAGGCTTATTAACTTACCTATACCAGTATTATTTCTCTACGCAATTAACTGAGCAAATTTTGCAAGCATTTTTTTTTATAAGCTATGCCTCTGATAGGAGCATAAATCACTAACTCTCAGAGAGGAATAACAAAACAACAAAAATAAAGCCCTAGACTCAGGACTGTGAAAGATCTAGGATCAAGGCATAGGAAAGACAAAATTTTGTTTGTGTATTCTGGCTGGTCTTCTCAGTACTTCTAATTTGTTCTTAAGCAGCCTGGAGTAGACTAGACCAAGCAGCTGCTCTCATCAAAGGGCAGACTTAAGTTTGACAAACGTGACTCCCCATACTTTTGCTACATTTCATACAGCATACTGGCAAATTTGTCACAGCTTCAGTTAAACTGGATATTTCAAACATCACCTGAATAAAGTAAAGCAAGACAGAAAATTTGAGTCTGTTTGGATCCTTACAAACATAAAGACCGACAATATAAAGATTTACTGTAATCACTCTTGAGGTTCTCTGTTAGACTTTGGTCCAGATCCAACCTCAAAAGACTATAAATAGCATTTCCCAGAAATCCAGAATTGCTGTTTCACAGACATTAACCTCCTCCAACAATAAAATTGGAAACAACCCACAACAAAAATAAAAAAAACAAGCCACCCAATCCATGGCCTCTGAAGAAGCTCTGCCCTGTAATACCAGACTCAAACAGCTTGCAGAGATTTTCTTTCTGAATAGATTATCTTTCCATTTTGCCAAACTGCTGTAGTCCCAATCAGAGGCTCCTAATGTAATAAGCCATGTCAGCTCACAAGGAGGCTACTGTAAGCACGAGAAAACCTCCACACTTCATCACCAGAAGATGACTCAACACTGAAGAACGTCTTACACTGAAAAATGGAAGCCGCAATGAAATATTTTAAGAGCTGAAGAACATCCTTTCAAGTGCATGTCAAAATTACACATGGCACCTGGCAGCAATCAGAAGGCTTGTTTTGCAGGAGCTGCTGCAGAGCAGATGACCGTGCAGCAGAAGCTGTCCTTCGCCTGGGGTTTACTTCTTTGACTACTATTACTCAGCAAGGCAACCTGAAAGGTCAGTTTATGCTCCCCCCCACCTCGAGCATGAGTGGTGTACACAGATCTCTCTCACACACACACAATTTGTAGCCTCGTAAAGACAGTACTGCCACTGCTATTAGCCAGCCACAGGCCTCAGACTGCCTCAGAAACGTGAAGCCTAAAGACTTCCCACATTTTTGCTGGACTTCTCTTGGCCTGAACTTATTTTTTGAGCTTGGATTTAGCTGTAGCCACACATGCACTGCAGTTGAAAGATGTAACTAATGAAGTCATTACAATCTGACTTGTGTCTTAACTTGGTTTTAGATTCAGCTCAGCTTTGTGCAACTGCAAGGTCTTAAGGAAATTATAGAATATATAGAAAATATAGACTATATAGACAATAAAGTTCTAATTAAATCAGTCTGTTTAGTATCAGTAAGCTTTTGGACCAACACAAAGCATTAGCAACTGATTGCTTGAAAGAACCCTGCACATCCCATGTAGAGCCACCACCAGCATCCTCCTCCCTCCCAACAGAGCTCAGGAAACTGGGAGGGTGAGCCTGAGCAGGGTCGATGTGAAGAAGCTTGTGTACTTCGATTATTGGGAACTAGCAGCAATTAGACTACAAGTGTTAGCATAACTGTAATTGGCTGACAATAAAAACTGCTGCATTTTGATTAGACTGCTAGGGCATTAATTAGACTAACAATAAATTCTAATTCTTGACTCCACTTATGAGGTCAGGATCACAGGGTAATTCAGATTGGACGTGTGTTTCTCTAGTCAGCACAAACTGCACAATGTAATACACCCTTATTTAAAATTTTAATTATTTTTCCCCGAATTCTATTTTCAAGGACTGTGATAAGATTAACATTTCTACAAAGGAATTATGTCTGCTGTGGAAAACGTAATAATAAGCAAAAATTATATTAAATGTTTTTATGATGTGCCAGTTCTCATGAAGAGTATAATCAAAAAATCTCTTTGCAGTAAGCACTATACCTTAGTTAGCAATTACTGTGAAAATCCTGAATACAATTAGGCAAATACTGCTGGAGAGATTTAAGAGAACATTTTTTAAAGCCCTTAGCAATGTGTTTTCCACTTAGCAATAAGACCAAGTGAAACAAAAAGACCGGTTTTAGCTCTCAGTGTTTTGTCTCCTACTGCAATCAATAGCATAGAAAGGAATAGTAGAAGGACAAGCATACTTTGATGCTTATTCCAAAATATTCCCCTCTGTGCACTATGCACCTAAGATCTCTTAACTTCGCATTTAATCACTTCTCCAGCACCTTCACGTGGACATAGATTATAATTTCATTCTTTCAGCATTCTAGAACTATCAGTTGTCAGTCCTGTTGCGAGACATTAATATTTGTAGAATAGTTTCTAAGCTATTGTAAGATACATAGCAAGAACTGTTCCCTGCGCAGATGTACAAACTAAACAAAAAGACTGCAATAGATGGAACCAAGTTCCTGAGTGAAGTTCTTACGTGTGCTCACATAGGCAACTAGAGCTCCTAGAAGGCTATGTACATAGCAAGGTTGAGAAACATTTAACAACCAGATGGAAAACATCAGGCTTTCGTTTTAAAGCGTAGACTGTATCCTACCAATTACCAGCTACCAATTTAACTCATCAACTGAAGTGACATGCCAAGTTGGAAATCCACTTGATTCCTCTTGCTCTGAAGTCCCTCACTTTTCCCAGTTTTCCTTCTCAGTATTGAAAAGGATTAAAGTCTTTCTAACCTCACCATTTAAATTACAATTTAACCTATTTCTGTTTGAAATTCTGTATAAAACAAAAACACCAAAAAGTACTTCCAAAGCAAAACACAAACATCACTGCTATAACATAAACATACAGACAAGCAAGCAAAACAAAGCCTTGAATGCACATAAATATTGAGCTATGATACTGCATAGCAACAATGAGCATTAGAGTATTTTGCCACCACAGCACTGCTGCGCTGAGACAATAGTGCTTCATAAAGTGTGAAATTACAAGTGCTTTCCTAAGATTAATTATCTCTAATTCAGGCCTGAAGTAGCAATCCACTGACAATGCACAATGAATAATGAATGTAAGTGCTAGATAAAAGGATTCATTGTCTGAATTTCTAACGCAGGAGTCTCCAATTTTGGAATGAAAGGGAAGGAAAGGTGAAACAATGTAAAACAAACGTAATGAATCTGGAATTTTGTCGAAATACGCAGTTTCACATAATATTTTAAATTTTGTGTAGCTAAGGTTTACATAAAAAATAGCTCATAAAGTGAACTCGTACAGCCTTACAGTCACAGACTTTAGAGATTTACAACTCTTTTGCCCTTTAAGGATGTTTTATGAGCTTTTATTCCAGTATCTAGCGGTTGCTTACTTCCCCCTTGGAAGTGACCAGGAGACTGCTTATTGCTCAGAATGCACACCTTACTCCAGGGGGTGAATAGTTCTGTTGCAAGGGTTACTTCGGGTGGCAGTAGTAGAGGTGTACTGCACAATCTTTCAGTATAGTTTGGACCTCAGACGTAACCCACGTTAAGAAACTTACCTAGAAGCCCTTCAAATTTACACTGCTATGTTTATCATTTATCTCTGGTTGATCTTTCCTGATGTTCCTTTGGCTCAAAGTGTAGTTTGGACATTAACAAAAGTGAAGTAATGAAGACTTGGTTTTCAATTCTGTTTTTATTTAGGTAATATTTCAGCAGCATCTCAGAAACATAGTTCCATGGAAAAAGAGAGAACCTTATTATTATAAATACCACTTCCCTAATCACAAGAAGGCAAACCACACACAGGAGAATGAAGCACAAAGGGTACAAGAAGAAGAAAAGACCCAACATACTATTTTGTGTGTTCTGCTGGTTAAATTACTAAAAAGAAACCACAAATTAAACAGTTTTCACTGTTTCCTACTGGAAACCAAACCAAGAATACTACTTCTTCGTGTCATCTGGACTCAGTAGCAACTACAAATTCAGAAAGAGTGGTTTCTGTCACCATCTGCTTGTCCTTCCTCCCACAGCATCTCACTGCCACTTGCTTCTGCTCACATTCGAGTTCCACAAACATACATTTTGTACACATTAATATAACATTTATCAATATTGTACATATTTCAGCCAAATAAAATTTTAATAACAGAAAATAAACATTCTTGTTGGAAAGCTTCATAAGAACTCAAAACTGGCAATCCTTTGGAACAAATAACGGCCTGAGATCCAGTAACTTTAAAGAAAGGATAACTGAATAATTCTAAGCCACATCAGATCTTGAAGGCAGAGACAAAAACGGGGAACCACTGACATAATACACATAAAGAGAACAGCTCTATACCCAACCCAACCCAGAAAACAAAATGGGGACTTGCAAGATTAGAGAGGAAGGCATGTAGCAGTTCAGATGCGAGATAAAAAAGGGCAGAAAATGGGAAAGTAAAAGAAAGTCAAGATCTCAGTTATGTTATTTAACTCAAAGTATAGCATTTAGAGACAACTGTCTCAATGTGGAAAGTGATATCCATGCATAAGTCTAAAATAAGGAGAATAGAGCCTCTCCTTCATGACAGAAAGAAGCATTCATCCTTCCTGTTTTATCCATGCTGAGCTTCCATTCGTGATGCGTCGGGAAAAAAAAGGCAGTGTTTTAATCAGAGAAAAAGAAAATGTGACTGAAATTAAAAGCAAGAAGCACCATCATAGAGCAGACCCACAACAGCTCCTCTGAAAAGCCATCACTTCTCACCAAAAGACATCTATGAGAGCAAATTTTATAGTGAAATTAAGTATTGAGACTATATTTAACAAGAATATTTCTAGGGAATCTTAGGGAAGGTCACAGAAGCACAGTAACAATTAAGATGGTCTTCTGTCCAAATGGAGCAGCTCTAGATGTCAACTATGCAACATGAAACAGCTGTGCCAAACACTCAGTGATGCCATATGCCTTTTGGACTCCATGTAATATTTCATCATACACTTAAACTTTTTTCCCTTACAAGTCAACCAAATCTCACTTTCCATTCAGGTAATAGTCTTCGACGTACATCCACATGGAGAGTGAGTTTACAGATTGCAGAACATAACCCCTGACATGCACTAGACAGTAACATTCAATGGAAAACTAACAGCATAGGTTTGGTATTTTAAGACAACCGTTAACACTTACAGGATAAAGCCATTTGGGAGAGCCACAACTCTTTAACCTATTTCCTACCAACCACCAAGTATATCCTTAGAAATATATTAAATGGGTGAATAAGAAAGCTTTT